CTCAGAGTCGGCAAAAATTTTAAAAGGTAAACGTCCATATCCTAACTATAGATTCCGCTGCATTAGGATTTATTTCGATGAAGTTCAATACTGTGCATGTTGTTTGACGTTCCTAACAGAACCCAACATTATATAGGCACAAAATATGTCTAAGCCTAATCTGCCTAGGGAACTAATAAAGCAATAAAATATTAGAAATCCTAAACAAGCTAGAAATCACAAAGCTATTTGGAAACTAAATCCCTCGGCTTGCACACTAAGTAACTCTTTTTCTTTCTTTCTTTCTTTCTTTTGTTTGCCCCTCGCACGCCATCCTTGCGCCAACCACCTTGCACGCCCTAGTCCTTGAGGACTAGGGCACCACCTCTTCGCGCGCGTGCTGTGTCCCCGGCGTGCGGCGCATGCCTACTCCTTCCGCGTCCCTAGCGCGCGCGTGCCCCTCCACCTCTCTGCATACCTCGGGGCATAAAGTCTCGCGCGTGCGCGTGCTTCCCTAGCGTGCGACTTTTCCACGAGCGCGCTGGCCAGCACTGCGGCCCGCGCGTCCTGCTCACCCACGCCCGCACCCGATGCGTTCCTTGCCTACGCACGACGTGCGTCCGCCTCAGCGAGCGCCCACTCGTCCTCGTCCGTTGTCTGGCCATTTTCGCTTGCCCTGCGCGCACTATGCTCGAGTGCACGCATTTCCGCAGTTCCCCGTGCTAACCTCTTGCGTGCATGGTAAGCGCGACTTGCAGCCTTCTTGAGTTGCCTAGCCACTTCCGCATCATTCCCGTCCCCTTCAAGCGATTCCTTGTCCTCAAGAATGAAACTTGGGAATTGATCGCGCATCTCATCAAGGTCTTCCCACGTGGCTTCTTTCGGTGGTAGCTCTTCCCAATCAACTAGTACCTCCCAATGATAGCGCCCTGCATTTATGACTTTGCGATACTCAATCGCTCTTTTTGGACATACGGTGATCCTACCATCGGTTGCGATTGCTGGAAATTCCTCACAATACTTCTGCGCCTCTCCTAGCCTTCTCTTGAGCTGCGAGACATGGATAACCGGATGGATCTGTGAACTCTCCGGCAATTCCCTACGATAAGCTACCTGACCAATGCGCTTCAGAATCTGATAAGGTCCATAGTAGCACACTCCTAACTTAGTTGTTGCCCTTTGTGCTGTTGTGCGCTGTCTGAATGGCCGCAGCTTCAAGTAGACATACTCGCCTGGCTCGTAATTCTCTTCTCGTCGCTTTCCATCTACAAAGGCTTTGGTTTGGTTCATCGAGCCTTCGAGATTTTTCTTCAACTCTCTCAACATCAAATCTCGCTCCTCGAGTTCTCGACCAACTTCATCATTAACCACGCCTCCTTCTGAGTAGTTGAGCAGTGTTGGCGGTTTACGCCTATATACCAGCTCAAATGGAGTCATCTTGGTTGATTCATGGTAGGTAGTATTGTACCAGTACTCAGCCCAGGGCAAAAATTTTTCCCACCTCTTCAGAAACTGATAAACGTAGCACCGTAGGTATTGCTCAAGGGTTCGGTTGGTTACCTCGGTTTGTCCATTGGTCTGTAGGTGAGAATGGAAAGAATTAGAAAAAGAAGGGCCCACGAGCAGATCAGTATCGGGCCAATGGATATTCGGAAATAGACTCGATGGGGCAGGGATATAACTCAGCGGTAGAGATGCTGAACTCATGGATAGCTTGGTTCCCTGCAGCGTGAAGAATTCAGACCAAAAGTTGCTCATAAACATCCTATCTCGGTCAGAAACTATAGATCGCGGAGCTCCATGCAACTTCATCACGTACTCGACGAATAGTCTGGCAATTGACTTCGCTGTGTAAGGATGGTGATGGGTATGAAATGGGCATACTTCGTAAGTCGATCTACTACGACCATAGCACCGTTGAACCCATTAGAACTTGGCAACCCTTTGATGAAATCCATAGTAATGTCCTCCCAAACTTCATCGGGTACCGATAGGGGCTGTAGTAGGCCGCTTGGTCGTCGCGAATCAGCCTTAGTGCGCTGACAGTCGTCGCACCTCGCGATGTAGTAGCGAACTGTGCCTTGCTGTCCGGGCCAAAAGAAGGTGTTGGCTATCCTCATCCACGTGCGATAGATACCCGAGTGACCTCCAATCTTTGAGTCATAGAAGTGTTGCATGATCTTCTCGCGTAGCTGTCCAGTATCGGGAACGAACACTCCGCCTCGGTGTAGTAGTAGGTTGTTGTGCAGCTCATAATCAGCAATGGTTTCTCTTGCCTCAATTTTGCGGCTCACTTCTATGCAATAAGTTTCCTCTTCTTGCGCCTTACGAACTTCCTCCCAAATGGTCCATGTTGGTCCAGTGATAGCATCAAGCTCAACTACATTTGTCCGACAAGATAAGGCGTCAGCTACAACATTCAGTCGACCTGGCCGATAGACTATCTCAAAGTCGAAACCCATAAGCTTCGAGACAAATTTCTTCATTTCCAAGGTAACAATCCTTTGCTCTAGTAGATGCTTGAGCGGCTGCTGGTCGGTTACAATCCGAAAACGTCGCCCCAACAGATAGGGCCCCCAGCATCTCACAGCTTCAACAACAGCTAGCATCTCTTTGACGTACACAGATAGACCCAATCGAGTCGTGCCTAGTGCCTTGCTGAGATAGGCTAAGGGTTGCCCTTCCTGCACTAGTACGACTCCAATTCCAATATCACTAGCATCTGTGTGTACTTCGAACAAGACATCAAACCTTGACATTGCGAGTACTGGCGTTGTAGTCATGGCGCCTTTCAGTTTCTTAAATGCCTCCTCGCTAGCCTTGGTCCATGTGAACCCTCCTTTCTTGGTCATCTCCTTAAGTGGCTTGGCAAGGGTTCCATAATCCTTTACAAACTTCCGATAATAGCCCATGAGCCCTAGGAACCCTCTCAGTTGCGTGAGACTTGTTAGCTTGGGCCAGTCGACTATAGCCTCTATCTTTCGTGGATCAACCGTCACGCCATTATGAGATATGAAGTGGCCTAAGTACTCGACCATCTCCTGCCCGGATTAACACTTGCACGGCTTGATGTGAAATGAGTTAGCCTCCAAGACTTCAAGCACTACTCTCAAATGCTCTAGATGTTCTGCCCATGACTTCAAATATACCAATATATCATCAAAGAAGACTGGAACAAACTTACGTAGATGCTTCTTGAAGATGGAATTCATAGCGAACTGGAAAGTGGATGGGGCGTTGCATAGCCCGAATGGCATCACCAAATACTCATAGTACCCTTGATGCGTACGAAAAGTTGTCTTCGGTATGTCGGCCTTGTGGAGTCGAATCTGATGATATCCAACTCTAAGATCGAGCTTCGAGAAGTAACGTGATCTAGTTAACTCATCGAGCATGTCGTCGACACTAGGAATAGGAAATCGATCCTTGATAGTCGCGGTATTCAGATTTCGATAGTCAGTACAGAACCTCCACGTGCCATCTTTCTTTTTAGCTAACAGAACTGGCAAAGAAAACGGACTCTTGCTATGCTAAATTAACCCCGACTCTAGCATCTCAGCTACTTGCCTCTCAATCTCAGTTTTCTGGAAGTGAGCGTACCTATAGGGGTGGACGTGTACTGCATACAACTCATTAATCAGGGGTATACGGTGGTCGAACTCCCAGTGAGGCGGTAGGCCCTTAGGTTCGCCTAACACTCCTTTGAATTCCTCAAGAAGCTCGCGCACATCGCCTTGCTTCTGCCGGCCTCTTCCGTGTGCGGCTCCTTACTTTCGAACACTACTGCGAATATTGACCGCCACTTTGTCAAACTCTTTCGATACTCTTCAACCCAACTTGCCACTTCACCAAAATTTAGTACCTTTTTCACTGCCTGTGCTCAGAGTGACTTGCCGACCTCCAAATTTGAACTCCATAACTCCAGTTCGGTAGTCGGTGGTCACCTTGCCTAATCCCTCGAGCCATTGTACTCCTAGCACGACATCAGATCCGACTAGGGGTAAAGCATAGAGATCAGCCTTTACCGTAACTCATTGGAACTTGATCGGCAACTTTTGAAAAAATTCAGTGCATTGCAGCCTCTCACCATTAGCTA